AGTATAGTAAGGCATGAAATTGACAAAAAACGACATAGTATAGTAAGGCATAAAAAGTCATAAAAACGACATAGTATGCTAAGGCATAGGACAACAGAGTATAGTAAGGCATGAAATTGACAAAAAACGACATAGTATAGTAAGGCATAAAAAGTCATAAAAACGACATAGTATGCTAAGGCATAGGACAACAGAGTATAGTAAGGCATGAAATTGACAAAAAACGACATAGTATAGTAAGGCATAAAAAGTCATAAAAACGACATAGTATGCTAAGGCATAGGACAACAGAGTATAGTAAGGCATGAAATTGACAAAAAACGACATAGTATAGTAAGGCATAAAAAGTCATAAAAACGACATAGTATGCTAAGGCATAGGACAACAGAGTATAGTAAGGCATGAAATTGACAAAAAACGACATAGTATAGTAAGGCATAAAAAGTCATAAAAACGACATAGTATGCTAAGGCATAGGACAACAGAGTATAGTAAGGCATGAAATTGACAAAAAACGACATAGTATAGTAAGGCATAAAAAGTCATAAAAACGACATAGTATGCTAAGGCATAGGACAACAGAGTATAGTAAGGCATGAAATTGACAAAAAACGACATAGTATAGTAAGGCATAAAAAGTCATAAAAACGACATAGTATGCTAAGGCATAGGACAACAGAGTATAGTAAGGCATGAAATTGACAAAAAACGACATAGTATAGTAAGGCATAAAAAGTCATAAAAACGACATAGTATGCTAAGGCATAGGACAACAGAGTATAGTAAGGCATGAAATTGACAAAAAACGACATAGTATAGTAAGGCATAAAAAGTCATAAAAACGACATAGTATGCTAAGGCATAGGACAACAGAGTATAGTAAGGCATGAAATTGACAAAAAACGACATAGTATAGTAAGGCATAAAAAGTCATAAAAACGACATAGTATGCTAAGGCATAGGACAACAGAGTATAGTAAGGCATGAAATTGACAAAAAACGACATAGTATAGTAAGGCATAAAAAGTCATAAAAACGACATAGTATGCTAAGGCATAGGACAACAGAGTATAGTAAGGCATGAAATTGACAAAAAACGACATAGTATAGTAAGGCATAAAAAGTCATAAAAACGACATAGTATGCTAAGGCATAGGACAACAGAGTATAGTAAGGCATGAAATTGACAAAAAACGACATAGTATAGTAAGGCATAAAAAGTCATAAAAACGACATAGTATGCTAAGGCATAGGACAACAGAGTATAGTAAGGCATGAAATTGACAAAAAACGACATAGTATAGTAAGGCATAAAAAGTCATAAAAACGACATAGTATGCTAAGGCATAGGACAACAGAGTATAGTAAGGCATGAAATTGACAAAAAACGACATAGTATAGTAAGGCATAAAAAGTCATAAAAACGACATAGTATGCTAAGGCATAGGACAACAGAGTATAGTAAGGCATGAAATTGACAAAAAACGACATAGTATAGTAAGGCATAAAAAGTCATAAAAACGACATAGTATGCTAAGGCATAGGACAACAGAGTATAGTAAGGCATGAAATTGACAAAAAACGACATAGTATAGTAAGGCATAAAAAGTCATAAAAACGACATAGTATGCTAAGGCATAGGACAACAGAGTATAGTAAGGCATGAAATTGACAAAAAACGACATAGTATAGTAAGGCATAAAAAGTCATAAAAACGACATAGTATGCTAAGGCATAGGACAACAGAGTATAGTAAGGCATGAAATTGACAAAAAACGACATAGTATAGTAAGGCATAAAAAGTCATAAAAACGACATAGTATGCTAAGGCATAGGACAACAGAGTATAGTAAGGCATGAAATTGACAAAAAACGACATAGTATAGTAAGGCATAAAAAGTCATAAAAACAACATAGTATGCTAAGGCATAGGACAACAGAGTATAGTAAGGCATGAAATTGACAAAAAACGTCATAGTATAGTATGGCATAAAACGTCAAAAAAACATCATAGTTTATTATGGCATAAAAAGTCATAAAAACAACATAGTATGCTAAGGCATAGAACAACAGAGTACAGTAAGTCATAAAAATGCCAAAAAATGGTATATTATAGTAACCCATAAAAATGACAAAAAACGTCATAGTATAGTATGGCATAAAACGTCAAAAAAACATCATAGTTTATTATGGCATAAAAAGTCATAAAAACAACATAGTATGCTAAGGCATAGAACAACAGAGTATAGTAAGTCATAAAAATGAAAAAAAACGTCATAGTATAGGAAGGCATAAAATTGACAAAAAACGTCATAGTATAGTATGGCATAAATGTCAAAAAAACATCATAGTATATTAAGGCATAAAAAGTCATAAAAACAACATAGTATGCTAAGGCATAGAACAACAGAGTATAGTAAGTCATAAAAATGAAAAAAAACGTCATAGTATAGGAAGGCATAAAATTGACAAAAAACGTCATAGTATAGTATGGCATAAAACGTCAAAAAAACATCATAGTTTATTATGGCATAAAAAGTCATAAAAACAACATAGTATGCTAAGGCATAGAACAACAGAGTATAGTAAGTCATAAAAATGAAAAAAAACGTCATAGTATAGGAAGGCATAAAATTGACAAAAAACGTCATAGTATAGTATGGCATAAAACGTCAAAAAAACATCATAGTTTATTATGGCATAAAAAGTCATAAAAACAACATAGTATGCTAAGGCATAGAACAACAGAGTATAGTAAGTCATAAAAATGAAAAAAAACGTCATAGTATAGGAAGGCATAAAATTGACAAAAAACGTCATAGTATAGTATGGCATAAAACGTCAAAAAAACATCATAGTTTATTATGGCATAAAAAGTCATAAAAACAACATAGTATGCTAAGGCATAGAACAACAGAGTATAGTAAGTCATGAAAATGCCAAAAAATAACATAGTATAGGAAGGCATAAAATTGACAAAAAACGTCATAGTATAGTATGGCATAAAACGTCAAAAAAACATCATAGTTTATTATGGCATAAAAAGTCATAAAAACAACATAGTATGCTAAGGCATAGAACAACAGAGTATAGTAAGTCATGAAAATGCCAAAAAATAACATAGTATAGGAAGGCATAAAAATGACAAAAAACGTCATAGTATAGTATGGCATAAATGTCAAAAAAACATCATAGTTTATTATGGCATAAAAAGTCATAAAAACAACATAGTATGCTAAGGCATAGAACAACAGAGTATAGTAAGTCATAAAAATGAAAAAAAACGTCATAGTATAGGAAGGCATGAAATTGACAAAAAACGTCATAGTATAGTATGGCATAAAACGTCAAAAAAACATCATAGTTTATTATGGCATAAAAAGTCATAAAAACAACATAGTATGCTAAGGCATAGAACAACAGAGTATAGTAAGTCATAAAAATGAAAAAAAACGTCATAGTATAGGAAGGCATGAAATTGACAAAAAACGTCATAGTATAGTATGGCATAAAACGTCAAAAAAAAATCATAGTTTATTATGGCATAAAAAGTCATAAAAACAACATAGTATGCTAAGGCATAG